TCACTAAGCAAACTGTTGTAAGTCAAGGACTACCTGTAATTTATCACTTTTTTCCTTTTTTTTTTTTTTGGTCATCAAGTTTTTGACACCTTTCTAGGCGACTGGTGGCACTTGGATGTTGCCATATCCTAAAAGTGGTACAATGGGTGAAAAGGTTGAAAAGCCCTGATCTAGTTCATCCCCCTGCTCAAGCAGGACACCCCCTGCCATTCTGGACAAATGGTTGTCCAGTCTCTTCTTGAAATCTCCGGTGATGGAGCAGCAACCATGAAATCAAACTGAGTTTTACTTCTAATATCTCCCAGTGATCCTCACTTGACATTACCTCCCCATAACAAGACCTTCACCTGACACACCCACACTTGGCCTACTTACCACACAAAGCCTTGTAAGCAGGAGAACAGCAACACAAGACACCTCCTAAACTCCATTGAAGATGTTACCTAGCCTGGTAACAAAACATTCAGAAACCAACTGAAAAGTTTGGAGAACAAAGTTCCACCCTCCTTACTTCTAATTCCTGCACGGAGGGTAAATTGTTTCCTATGTATAGAACAGGACAGGACAGGACACGATATAGAATAGAATAGAATAGAATAGAATAGAATAGAATAGAATAGAATAGAATAGAATAGAATAGAATAGAAGCTGGAAGGGTTCTTGGAGGTCTTCTAGTCCAGTCCCCTGATCAAGCAGGAGAACCTATACCATCTCAGACAGGTGAATGTCCAGTCTCCTCTTAAAAATCTCCAGTGATGGAGCACCCACGATCTCTGGAGGCAAGCTGTTCCACTGGTTGATTGTCCTCACTGTCAGGAAGTTTCTCAATTCCAGGTTGCTTCTCTCTTTGGTCAGTTTCCAACCATTGTTTCTTCTCCTGCCTTCGGGTGCCTTGGAGAATAACCTGACCCCCCTCTGTCTTGTGGCAGCCCCTCAGATACTGGAACGCTGCTATCATGTCTTCCCTATTTCTTCTTTTCTTTAGACTAGCCAAACCCAAGTCCTGCAGCCATTCTTCCTATGTTTCAGTCTCCAGGCCTTGGATCATCTTAGTTGCTCTTCTCTGAATTTTTTTTCCAAACTCTCTACATCCTTTTTATGATATGGTGACTTCCCTGGTAGAATTTTTTTTAATGGCAAGGTATATAAAAACAGCTGCTGCACCACAGAGTGGTCCACTTAAACAGATGCCAATGGGAACATCCTCTTCCAGTTTGTGTAGCAAACAGGAACTTGGTATTGTGCTTAGCAGTTTGTTCTCATACGGTGACATGGCCTTGGCCCTAACCTGGACAATACACATAACAGAGCAATTATAATATAGACTGGTTCATATTATTAACTCAGAAATCAGACTGAGAAAGAGAGCTATCGTTTGGTTGCACAGATTTATCCTAATGATGCAACAGTGCAAAAGCGTGCAAGAATGTTTTTAAAGATCAGTCCTGCCAACGGTGCCGAGGACCACCAAGTTTTCAACTCCGTCTTGGAAATTTAACAGAACGACACGGTGGGAAGGGACCTTGGAGGTCTTCTAGTCCAACCCCCTGCTCAAACAGGAAACCCTATATACCAGTGATGGCGAACCTTTTAGAGATGGAGTCCCCCAAAACTGGCTCCGTCCCTGCTCCACCCCCTGCCCCACCCCCGCTCCGCTCCGCCCCGCCATCCCCCACCCCGCCTGCCCGCAGGGCCACTCACCGCCTCCAGGGCCCGCTGATCACCCAGGCAGCCCAGCAGCGCTATAGCAGTCACGCCCTCTGCCCGCGCCCTGCAGCATCAACTGTGCATGATGGGGTGTGAGGGCAGAGTCTTGTCTACGCTGCCTGGCTGCCATGTCCTTGGCTGCGCTGCTCCACATGGGCCACGCTCGGGGGCGAGTCTCCTTCAGGGGGGCTGCTGGAGAGGAGGGGGTCGTGGGGGGAGGCGAGGCTGGGGCAACAGCATGTGTGCCCACAGAGAGGGCTCCGAGTGCCGCCTCTGGCACCCGTGCCATAGGTTCGGCACCACTGCTATATACCATTCATTCGAGTCCAATCTCTTCTTGAAAACCTCCAGTGTTTTGGGATTTGATTCAACAGTTGATTCCATCAGTGTGCTCACATTGATGCAGAGTTGTGGAAAGCAGCTGTGCCTAGCAGATGCTAACTGGACAGCAAGAGGCTTCTGATTGTATATGCTGTGGACCAGTGGAACAGGCTGCCACATGACTTGAAAGGGGATTAGAAGCTGGAGGACTTCACAAGGCTGGAGAGTCTTCTGTTCAAAGGGCTCTGACACAAGTTTAATCAAAAGGTGTTTCTTTCAGGAGGCAACTGGACTTTCTTGTTTTTCTTTGAAGATGTTTCGCTACTCATCCAAGAAGCTTCTTCAGCTCTGACTGGATGGTGGGGAATGGAAGGATTTATACTCCTTGCAGAGAGTCGGTCCTTTGCCTTCTTTGAGAGAGCCTTTGAGGCCACCTGGAGGTTTAATCTGTGCCCTCAGGGTCCCCTGAGTGGTGCAAATGGATGTGGAGCCTTCCATTCCCCACCATCTAGTAGTCAGAGCTGAAGAAGCTTCTTGGATGAGAAGTGAAATGTCTTCAAAGAAATACAGGCAGTTCACTTAACAGGTTGTTAAGTGAATTGGGCCTCCCCGTTGACTTTGCTTGTCAGAAGGTCACAAAAACCCTGAAATACTGCAACCGTCATAAATATGAGCCAGTTGCCAAGCATTTGAATTTTGATCACATGACCAGGGGGTGCTGCAATGGCCTCAAGCGTGAAAAACAGTCGTCAGTCACTTTTTCAGTGCCGCTGTAACCTTGAACAGTCACTAAATGAACTGTTGCAAGTCATGGGCTAGCTGTATCACTTTACAACGTCTTGGTAAGGCCACACTTGGAATCCTGCATCCAGTTTTGGTCGCCACGATGTAAAAAAGATGCTGAGACTCTAGAAAGAGTGCAGAGAAGAGCAACAAAGATGATCAGGGGACTGGAGGCTAAAACATACAAGGAACGGTTGCTGGAATTGGGTATGTCTAGTTTAACGAAGAGAAGGACGAGGGGGGACATGATAGCAGTCTTCCAATATCTCAGGGGCTGCCCCAAAGAAGAGGGAGTCAAGCTATTCTCCAGAGGACCTGAAGGCAGGACAAGAAGCAACGGATGGAAACTAACAAAGGAGAGAAGCAACCTGGAACGAAGGAGAAACTTCCTGACAGTTAGAACAATTAACCAGTGGAACAACCTGCCTCCAGAAGTTGTGTCTGCTCCATCACTGGAGGTTTTAAAAAGAGACTGGACAGCCACTTATCTGCAATGATATAGGATCTCCTGCTTGAGCATGGAGTGGACTAGAAGACCTCCAAGTTCCCTTCCAACTCTGATATTCTGCAAACTTTATGGGTAACTGGGATAAAAGTTTTGTCAGACCAGTAATTCAAATAGCATTTTTCAAACAGGATTTTCCTAAACGGGCAAAAGTTCTCTGTTGTAATTTATGAGTTAACTGTAGAAACAGCTTGGAGATGCTTTCTCTGGACAACCTGTCACCCTAAAATTGGGCTGGGTGGATTTTACATTCAGAAAATCTCAGCCTTCAGAACTTTGGGGGAACCCATGGTGTGTTTTGAGTCAAAACAGTCAAGATGGCAGCCATGACTGCAGAGTTGAAGCCCCTCCCCTTTTCTCCTGAGCTTCAGTTGTGCAGATATACCCTCCATCTTGACTTTTTTGACCTCGCTCCCCTCTACAGCCATCCCTAATCAGGTTTGGGATTTATTTTGTGCGTTCCTTCCTTCTGGAAAAAAAAAGAAAAGATTTTTTATATATATATTAAGCTTTCTTTTTTTATTTACACCACGACACATAATATTCCCTACATTCGTTTTAAATCTACAATAATGGGGGAAAGGAAGATCCAAGAAGCACCACTAACATTATACACAACAGTCCTGCAATCTTTTTTACAGCTGGAAAGAAAAAAAGAATTTTAATCTTACTGGGATAAAACGTTTAAGACGAAATGTGGCTGAAAAAAAATGCAAGGGGAACCCTACTGCATTTCTGAAACTTAAGGCACATAAAGGGGCATGCAATTTAATTTGGATTTTTTTTCCTATCTTGTCCCTTCTTAAAATCAAGAGGGCCTCCAAATGACGATTTTTCCCCTTGAAAGTTGCCCCCCACACACAACAACTGAAACTAGGAAGTGAATGAGGAAAGAATTTATCCCATTGAAATATCATCCCTAACTTGATTTAGTTACCAGTTTTCCTCTTTGAGCATTTTATTCCTGCAGATAGCCAGCGAGAGGATTATAACTCTGCTTCTGTAATAAAAACTGAGCTGCTTTTATACCAAACTAGGTCTCCAGTTGTGCTCCCCAAAATTCCCAGCATTTATTCAGACCATCAGTTGATTTATCTGTGAAATACGTCAACATTTGCATGGTGAGGAAAGAAAATTGTTAGTTTTATGCCATAATTTCCATTATCAACTTTATCACTACAGTACAGTAGGGGCATAGATTATTCTAGACCAGGGGTAGGCCACCATGGCTCTTTTATGACTCGTGGACTTCAACTCCCAGAATTCCTGAGCCAGCCATGCTGAGGGGAAAGGGAGAGGTTTCCAAGCTGAGCCATGCTGGCTCAGGAATTCTGGGAGTTGAAGTCCACGAGTCAGAAAAGAGCCGAAGATCTGTGGACTTCAACTCCCAGAATTCCCTAGCCAGCATGAATGGACTTCAATTCCCAGAATTCCCTAGCCAGCATGAGTCGACTTCAGTTTCCAGAATTCCCCAAGGCAGCATGAGTCAATTTCACTATTTGAACTGGGGAATTCTGGGAGTTGGTCCACGCACCTTAAGGTGTGCTTACTGGGGAATTCTGGGAGCTAAAGTCCTTAAAGTTAAAGTTCCCGTGGTTGAGAAACAATGCCCAAATAGTATAAATTCAGGTATGAGCTATTCAAATACAAACCACTGTTTCTCCACGGAGATAAAATAATGAATAGATTGCAGGCCTTTTATTTTCAGAACATAGAACTACAGGTCCAGAACTAGCAAACTACATTTTGAGTCTAAGAAGGCAAGCTCCGGTTACAGAAATTAAAAGAAAAAAAATGGCCCTGCTGGTTTAGTTCTCTAGTAGCTAAGAGTTCCAAGGACTGAATTAAAAATAGATGACAATTCAATTGTTTAAATTTAAAAAAAGAAAAGAATCGGCAGTGATGTTTTTGGTTCCAAACTATTTTGGGCTACCCAAAAGAAATGTTCTTGGGAACGAGAGCTTAATTTGCTCTTTTTTTTTCTTTTTTTTAAGTCTGTTTGTTTAATTTCGGTTTCCTAGTTTTAAAATGGACCCAGGAATTGTTGTCCTTGCTTGGTTTTTAAAACAAGAAAGGGGGCTGCCACTGGTATTGTTCAACCAATATAATCACAGGATGTGGCAGGGATTCAGCAACGGAATTTGATGGGATGTCGACAGATTTACTGCCCTTTTTCCTTGGGTTGCGTTGACCTTCTCGTTTTCAAATGTTGGAGGCTTGAAGGAGAAGTCAAACCGTCTTCCTGGAGGTCACGAGGGGGGGGGAACGAGGTGTCCATGATGAAGGGTCCTTTGGTGGGTTTGCATCTGATCGGGCCAGGGCCGAAAAACGCCCGCCGGGGTCACTCTGGGGGTGGAACCTGGTTCTGCTTGAAGAAATCGGTCACAAGATAGGTTCTGTGCCGTTCCAGTTGACCACGGCCCCCTTCCACCTGAAAGAGAGGCAGAGATTCATTATGGTGGTTTCCCAAGAGTTGAATAATAATAATAATAATAATAATAATAATAATAATAATAATAATAATAATAATAATAATAATAATAATAATAATAATAATAATAATAATAATAATAATAATAATAATAATAATAATAATAATAATAATAATAATAAAAAAAAAAAGTTGGGAGGGACCTAGGAGATCATCTAGTCCAACTCCCTGCTCAGGCAGGAAACCCTACACCATTTCGGACAAATGGCTGTCCAGTCTCTTCTTAAAAACTTCCAGTATTGGAGCATTCACCGCTTCTGGAGGCAGGTTGTTCCACTGGTTAATTGTTCTCACTGTCAGGAAGTTTCTCCTTAGTTCTAGGTTGCTTCTCTCCTTGATTAGTTTCCACCAGTTGCTTCTTGTCCTGCCTTCAGGGGCTTTGGAGAATAGCTTGACTCCCTCTTCTTTGGGACAGCCCCTGAGATACTGGAATTTTGCTATCATGTCCCCCCTCGTCCTTCTCTAGACATATCAAATTCCAACAACCGTTCTTTATATGTTTTAGCGTCAAGTCCCCTAATCATCTTTGTTGCTCTTCTCTGGACTCTTTCTAGAGTCTCAGCATCTTTTTTACATCGTGGTGACCAAAACTGGATGCAGTATTCCAAGTGTGGCCTTACTAAGGCATTGTAAAGTGGTATTAACACTTCACGTGATCTTGATTCTGTCCCTCTGTTAATGCAGCCCAGCACTGTGTTGGCTTTTTTGGCAGCTGCAGCACACGGCTGGCTCATATTTAAATGATTGTCCACTAGGACTCCGAGATCCCTCTCACAGTTACTAGTATTGAGCAAGGTACCCCCTATACTATATATGTACATTTGGTTTTTCTTGCCTAAATGTAGAACCTTACTTTTTTCACCATTGAATTTCATTTTGTTAGATAGCGCCCAGTGTTCAAGTCTGTCCAGGTCCTCTTGTATCCTAAGCCTGTCTTCTGGAGTGTTGGCTATCCCTGCCAGTTTGGTGTACGTGGAACTAGTCCTGTAAAGCGAGACTCAAGCACTGCTTAAAACGGGCAGGAGTTTGTGAAGAGGCCGCTGGCTTTAGTCATGAAGTAGAAGGGGGAAATACACACAACTGAGCCCAAAATTTCTGTTGCTAAGCGAGACAGTTGTTAACTGAGTTTTGCCCCACTTTATGACCTTGGTGGTTAAGTGAATCACTGCAGTGGTTAAGTTGGAAGCACGGTTGTTAAGTGAATCCGGCTTCCCCCCCATTGACTTTGCTTGTCAGAAGGTCGCAAAAGGGGATCGCGTGACCCCAACCGTCGTAAATATGAATCGGTTGCCAAGCATCCAAATTTTGATCATGTGACCTTGAGGATGCCGCAACAGTCATAAGTGTGAATGACGGTCATAAGTCACTTTGTAGCTTTGTTGTAACTTTCAACGGTCGCTAAATGAATTGTTGTAAATCGAGAACCCTACCTGCATACCTGTTTTTTAAAAAACAGGAAAATCACCCAGTTGTGGGGAGGGCTGTGTACCCTACAGGCTTTTTCTTGTAAGCAGCGATTCTTGGACTGCCTATAGGACTCCCTGCCACTGTGTCATCCGATAAATCACTCTAAGAAGTGCAACAAAACAGACGCACCCTCTAAATAAGCCCTCATATACGGGTAGTCCTCGACTTACGGCGATCACTTAGCGAAATTCCCATGGAATTATCTGAAATTATCTGAAAACTAAAAACATGGATTTGAAGTTTCGACAATCAGGCTCTCTCCCCTGTGGTCACATGACCGAACACTGCACCCTCAGCACTCAGACCGCCTTTGTAGACATTTTACAACACTTTTACCCAAAACCAGCATTTTTCCCCCCGTTTTCAGCAAAACTGGTCCAACAGTAAACAAGTGGTTGACTTAACAACTGTGGCGTTTGCTTTACCAATGCAGCATCCACTTAGTGAGTGCTGTTTTACAACCACCGCAACTTACGACCCTGATGGGCAGGTTCCATTATAGTCATAAGTTGAGGACGACCAGCAACTTAAAAACAAAAAACACACCACCACCACACTGGATGTTTCTTCTGAGCAAGGACTGATCCTCCCAAGGTTTGTTCTTTGGATGAAAACATGCAATATAAATCTATTAAAAAAATCAAAGCCAAAACATTTCTTTTTTTTTGCACAGGGTATTCCTGGCTAGCCATCCTCTCTTCCACGGGCTGGACGTGGAAGCCCGGCCTTGGCCCCGGCAGGATCCATGATGGCATTGCACATCTCACATTTAGTAAGGCAACCCAAACTGTGGAGGGAACAACTAACTGTCATTAACAGCCCAGCTTCTGTGTCTCGACAGGGACAATAGGAGTTAGCTGGCATCTCCTAATTGGCGCCCTTTGCCTGCAGGATGGAGGCTCCTAGTTGCTCAGACTGGCTGTTCTTGTAACAAGCACACCATTCATGCTTATTTACGGCTCTAGCTTCAAACAGAGCCAAACTGACTAATGCTATTGAAATCTTCTTGGGAAGCAGAGAAACGGACAGAAACTGGGGCAGGGGAATCCAACTTTCTGGAACAATATTGCTTGTCACCTTAACTGAACCCCAGAGACCCTCCGGAGATACAGTGGCATTGAATTCAGCTGCAGCGATGCCCTGAAAGGTCACTTCTCATATTAAAAAGTCATAGAAAGCTGCAAAAAATTCAGCTCTCTATCTGAACCATCACAACAGTTGTAGGAGATGTTTGCACACGATTATCGTGTTTTTGTATCGGACGCTGATTTATTTCTCCGGGAAAAAGAAGACTTTTATTCTGCGGGCAAATAAAAGGAATGCAGAAATAATTCAGTTCCCTGGCACAGATGGGTTTTTTAAAAAAACTAAAATATCAGCCTTATAAAGCATGCCATTCTTGGTTTTTATAAAAAGCATAATAACTTTATTGGAATTTTAAAGCGGAAGGTAAAAACTAATAAGAGGGAATGCTGAGAATGAAAAAAGAAGAAAAGAAGTAAGGGAAGAACAAAGATGCAGAAATCAAAGAGAAAGGGAATATAAAAAAAACGACTTCTGGTTTTCTTTTACGCTAGCTATAAGTGTAAAATGTAAATTTATACAAATCTAACTCTGTGGTTGCAAACACGGTTCATCTCTTTTCTACAGTCTATTTTTTTCTCATCATCAAAACCATATATAATTTCGCTTTTTTTCTGTTTCGTGTAAAAAGTCAACCAGCCACCGTGCATGGACTTCATCTCCCAGAATTCCCCAGCCAGAATTTGTGGGCATCAATCCCAAAATTCCCAAGTAATCATGTATGGACTTTACCTCCCAGAATTCAATGGCAGATGTGTGGACATCAGCACTGAAAATTCCCCAATTAGCATATTTAGACTTCAACTCCCAGGATTCCCCAAAGGTCCTCCGAAGGGAGAGAGAGAAAAATACACAAAGCGTAATTTAGCTAGTTTTATCAAACCCTGATAGGACGCATCAGCCATCCAATATATTTTTCTTTCTTTCTTTAGGCCTGACAACCATAATAATAATAATAATAATAATAATAATAATAATAATAATAATAATAATAATAATAATAATAATAATAATAATAATAATAATAATAATAATAATAATAATAATAATAACAACAACAACAACAACAACAACAAGAACAACAAGAACAACAAGAACAACAAGAACAAGAACAAGAACAACAACACCAACAACACCAACAACACCAACAACAACAACAACAATAATAATAATAATAATAATAATAATAATAATAAAGTTGGAAGGGACCTTGGAGGGCATCTAGTCCAACCCCCTGCTCAGGCAGGAAACCTATACCATTTTGGACAGTCTCTTCTTAAAAACTTCCAGTGCTGGAGCATTCACCGCTTCTGGAGGCAAGTGGTTCCACTGGTTAATTGTTCTAGTGGGAACCTTAGTGGGAATTTTTATGGAATATAACATTTATTGACCTTTGGAAACAAATCTTTGCATTGCACAGATCTGAATTCAAGCAAGATAAATGCTAACAGAGGCAGATCTTCAATGTGGCAGCTGGTGCCTTTTCGAATCCGAGATTGTTATTTCCTCCATCGGAGACAGAAAACAAGGAAGCAATAAGGAAACGTGAAATGTATTTGCCCGATCAAAAAAGATCAAGGAAGGCCACATTCCATTCTCTCTTCGTTCTTAGTTCAACTTCTTAAGCCTATTTTGGAGACTTGAATTAACAGGGGCAGCCAATGACTCTTGCCTTAAGGAATCTGAAGGTGCTAATTATTATTATTATTATTGATGATGATGATGATGATGATGATAAAGTTGGAAGGGACCTTGGAGGTCATCTAGTCCAAACCCCTGCTCAGGCAGGAAACCCTATACCATTTCAGACAAATGGCTGTCCAGTCTTTTCTTAAAAACCTCCACTGTTGGAGCATTCACCGCTTCTGGAGGCAGGTTGTTCCACTGGTTAATTGTTCTCACTGTCAGGAAGTTTCTCCTGACACTTTTGCCTTGGGGGAAATATTTCTATAAGGTTATCATTCACAAGGAGATCAGACATTAAAGTTTCTCCAGGCTGGCTGCACAGGCTTTCCAAGAACTGCTGCGAAAGAAAAACAGCCCCTGTTTTGTTTTGTTTCTGTTTTTTAAATCCATTTTGCAATCTGCAAGCTCTGGAGACCGTTATGAAATTTGTTATATTTCTTTTCACTAAATCAGCCGTGAGCGCTAAACGCCCCAGCAATTTTTTCTTCTTCTTCTTCCCCTTGTAGGAGTTTAAATAAATAAATAAAAAGTCCTCAGAAGTAATTGGCAACGGAGGTGATGGTAGCCGCGCCACTTCCCAGTTGCCATAGAAGCCAGTTTGTTTTTATTTTAGCTAAAGGGTCTGCTGCAAATATCTTTAATGTATATGGGAAATTAGTATGAAGGGAAAATATCTATTTATCTTCACCCATGTTTGCAAGGCGGGGGGGGGGGGGGGAAGAAAGGTAGCCTGGAAAGCAACAAATGACTTGTGATTGTTGATCTGTATCAATGTTGCACACTGGAACAAGGCTTCAACCAAGCAGATACAACAGTATAGTACAGTGGTGGTGAACCTATGGCACGGGTGCCAGAGGCGGTACTCAGAGCCCTCTCTGTGGGCACGCACGCCGTCACCCCAGTCCTAGGCCTTCAGCTGGGTTTTATAAAACCTTTTCGCTTTAGGCCTCTGCCACCATGTGCAAAAAAAAAATTCAATCAATCAGTCAATTTCAACTTCTCGCGGGGAAAAAAAAGATCTTGCAAAGTTGGAATTGATTGATTGAAGTTTTTAGTCCCACCCAGTCTGCCATTACCACCGCAGCCACGCCCACCCAATGGGCCACGCCCACCCAATGGGCCACGCCCACCCAGCACCCGATGATACATAAGTGGGTTTTGGGTTGCAGTTTGGGCACTCGGTCTCTAAAAGGTTCGCCATCACTGGGATAGTAATACTGTTTTGTATTGCATTGTATTGTAGTGGACTACAGAACAGAACAGAAATTCTGCATAAGGTCATGGAACCCACAGTGTATTTGTTAATTGCCCAAAAGGTACGTGATTTTTGGGGAAAAAAGGGGAGGGAAAATACAGGTGGTCCTCAGCTTACGGCCATAACTGAGCCCAAAATTTCTCTTGCTAAATGAGACATTTGTTAAGTGAGTTTTGCCCCCATGTTACGACCTTTCTTTTCATCGTTCTTAAGGGAATCACTGCAGTTGTTAAGTGAACCTGGCTTTTCCATTGACTTTCCGAAGGTCGCGAAAGAGGATCACGTGATCCCAGGTCATTGCAACCGTCATAAATATGAGTCAGCATCCAAATTTTGATCCCTTGACCATATATGATCGCATGACCATGGGAAGGCCACAATGGTTGTTAAGCGTGAAAAACGGCCATAAGTTGCTTTTTTCAGTGCCATTGTAACTTTGAACGGTCATTAACTGAACTGTTGTAAGTCAAGAACTATCAGTAGTAGAATACAGAGCAGAACAGAACAGAAATTCTGCCTAAGGGCATGGAGCCCACATTGCATTTGTTAATTGTCCAAAGGTATGTGGCTTTTGGGGAAAAAGAAGAATATATACATATAGTGAAATTATTCAAGCAAAGAACAAAGAAGAGGGAGTCAAACTACTCTCCAAAGCGCCTGAAGGCAGGACAAGAAGCAACGGATGGAAACTAATCAAGGAGAGAAGCAACCTGGAACTAAGGAGAAACTTCCTGACAATGAGAACAATTAATCATTGGAACGACTTGCCTCCAGAAGTTGTGGATGCTCCATCAGTGGAGGATTTTAAGAAGAGACTGGACAGCCACTTGTCTGAAATAGTAGAGGATGGGATGGGATGGGATGGGATGGGATAGGACAGGACAGGACAGGACATGACAGGACAGAGGTGGGGCAGGAGGGGACGGGATGGGGCAGGGGTGGAATAGAATAGAGTAGAACAGAACAGAACAGAGTAGAGTAGAGTAGAGTAGAGTAGAGTAGAGTAGAGTAGAGTAGAGTAGAGTAGAGTAGAGTAGAGTAGAGTAGAAAAAGAATAGAATAGAACAGAACAGAGTAGAGTAGAGTAGAGTAGAGTAGAGTAGAGTAGAGTAGAAAAAGAATAGAACAGAACAGAGTAGAGTAGAGTAGAGTAGAGTAGAGTAGAGTAGAGTAGAGTAGAGTAGAGTAGAGTAGAGTAGAATAGAATAGAAAAAAGAATAGAATAGAATAGAATAGAATAGAATAGAATAGAATAGAATAGAGCTGGAACGGACCTTGGAGGTCTTCCAGCCCAGCCCCCTGCTCAAGACAGGTGACTGTCCAGCCTCTTCTTAAAAACCCCCAGTGATGGAGCACCCACGATTTCTGGTGGCAGGTTGTTCCACTGGTCAGCCAGAGGATCTCCGATGCCCCTCCCATCTCTGTTACTCCGATAAGCTAAAGCCGGGGTGACCAGCACTTACTTCGTCCGGATGCAAAGCTCCAAAGGGGAAACGAGGTCGCTCTCTTGGTTTTCCACAGAAAGCTGCGAGATGTCTGTGGAGACAAAGAACATCAGCATTAATCGTCATCAATTAACGGTCCCATTCTGATGCCATCTGCCAACAACAGTATGGAGACTGAGGGCGGAATTCACTGCAGCCCATTTAGAGGGTTTTAAAAGGAAAAGGCCGATGATTGGAATATATCAGTGGTTTTGAATCTGGACAGTTATAGAAGTAGTCCTTGACTTACAACCGTTTGTTTAGTGACCGTTTGAAGTTATAATGGCGCTGAAGAAAGTGACTTATGGACATCTTTCACACAACTGTTGCAGGATCCCCCTGGCCACATGATCAAGATCCAGAAACGTGCACAACTGGCTCATATTTATGACCGTCATAGTGTCCCGGGGTCACATGATCCCCTTTTGCGACCTTCTGATGAGAAATGTCAATGGGGAAGCCAGATTCACTTAACAACCATGTGATTCACTTAACAACTGTGGCAATAAGGGTCTTAAAATGGGGCAAAACCCACTTAACAGATTTCTCACTTAGCAACATAAATTTTGGGGTCAATAGTGGTCGTGAGTCAAGGACCACCTGCACATCTCAATAAGCTTCTGGAATAGACTTCAACACTTTGATGGCCCCTCCAATTTTATTTTCTTGGGCTCCAGGATCACTGCAGCCATGAAATTAAAAGACGCTTCCTCTTTGGAAGGAAAACTGTGGCAAATCTAGACAGACAAATTAAAAAGCAGAGACATCACCTTCCCGGGAAAGATCCCTGCTGCCAAAGCTCTGGTTTTGCCAGGAATAATATATGGCTAATAATGGACCATAATTGAAGAATTGATGCTTTTCATTTGTGGGGAAGACTCTTACGAGTCCCTTGGGCTGCAAAGAGATCGAATCGGTCGATGCTAAAGGAAGTCAACCCTGACTGGAAGGACAGATCATGAAGCCAAAGCCCAAATACTTTGGCCACCAAATGAGAAGAGAGAAGATTCCTCGGAGAAGACCCTGATGTTGGGAAAGATGGAAGGCAGAAGGAGAAGGGGACGGCAGGGGATGAGACGGTTAGATAGGGTCATTGACGCAAAGAGCATGAATTTGGACAGACTCCAGGGGACAGTGGAGGATGGGGGCTTGGTCCATGGGGTCACAAAGAGTCGGATGTGACTTAGCAACTGAACAACAACCAATTCTTGGGTCCCATGGATTTTGGCTTGGTCCAACCTCAAAGTTCTTCTAATGTTAGGTTTGATGGGAAAATTGTGATGATCGTCAACGTCTCTTCCAATTCTATTCTATTCTGTTCTGTTCTATTCTATTTCACTCCACCCCTGTCCCGCCCCGTCCCGCCCCACCCCACCCCACCCGTCCTGTCCTGTCCTGTCCTGTCCTATCCTATTCTTCATTTCTCTATTCTATTCTATTCTATTCTATTCTATTCTATTCTATTCTATTCTATTCTATTCTATTCTGTATTCTATTCCATTCCATTCCATTCCATTCCACTCTGTTCTGTTCTGTTCTGTTCTGTTCTACTCTACTCTACTTTACTCCATTCCACTCTGTTCTGTTCTTCTCTGCTTCACTCCATTCCGCTCTATTCTATTCTATTCTATTCTATTCTATTCTATTCTATTCTATTCTATTCTATTCTATTCTATTCTGATGTAATATGGATACTATCCTCTGGCCCAAAAGTTGCTCCAAATTCAGAAAGAAGGAAAGGGAATTGGCAGCAGCAAACTAGCAAATTCTACCCAATTTCTTTTAAAACAATTCCCCCCCCCCCCAAAAAATCCAGTCTCCTAGGAGGCTGCGGGAAAACAGACGGCACGGTTAGATCTGTGGGCGTCCCGGGAAAGCAAAAAAAATTGCAGGATTGAAGCTGCCAAATACAAAAAAACTGGCTAAAAGACAGAAATGTCAAGCTCCACAGGTCTGCAATTACACCAGGGAGGTGAGAATTCAACAAGAGGGCAGGGGAAAAACAAGGGCACCTACTGAGGAAAGTGGGCTGAAGGCATTGTGCACTGTAAATGCGATTAATGTCCTTAAAAACAGGACTGTCTGTTTGGAATTGCAAACTAATGGACAGCAGAGGTTAAAAAAAAAATAATGCCTGAAATATGCCACAACGAACAACTTTTTTTTAATTTAATAGCTTGCCATTTTCCTGTATTTCCGTTAAGTCCTCGCGTTATGGCTGTGACTTACGAACTGGGACCAGAACTTTCCACTGCTAAGCCAGGCAGTTATTGAGTGAGCCCAGCCCCTCTCCACTGCAAGGAGACTCCGAGCTCCACTTTATGACCTCTTTTTTGCCACAGCTGTTAAGCAAACCAATGCAGTTGTTAAGTGAATTATCCGGTCCTTAAATGAATCCAGCTTCCCCCATTGACTTCTCTCAGTTCCCGCAGTCACGTGATTGCAATCTGGGGTCTCGGCAACAAGTTCGCATTTACGACGGCTGCAGAATTTTGTGGGCGCCGTTTGTGATCCTCCCCGCTGGCTTCTCACAAGTTACGTTACTGAGCAAGTCAGGAGGAAATTCAGAAGTTGCTGGGGATTCCTTAACAACTGTGGTTAAAAAGAAGCTCGTAAAAAGACGCCTCATTTAAATTAACTATAAGTTTTTGGTCCCAACTGTACAAGTAGTCCTTGACTTACGACCCCAATTGAGTCTGAAATTTCCGTTGTTAAGTGAAACATTTGTTAAGTGAGTTTTTCCTCCATTTAAACACCTTTCTTGCCACAGCTGTTAAGTGAATCACTGCAGTTGCTAAGCTGATAAACTGGTTGTTAAGTGAATCCGGCTTCCCCCATTGACTTTGCTTGTCAGAAGGTCGCAAAAGGGGATCATGTGACACCCCAGGACGTTGCAACCGTCATAAATATGAATCAGTTGCCCAGCGTCTGAATTTTGATCATGTGATCACAGCGGTCGTAAGTATGAAAATGGTCATAAGGTTTTTTTTTCAGTGCCACTGTAACTTCAAACAGTCACTAAATGAACTGTTGTAAATTGAGGACTACCTGTATTAATAACTTGCATCTATAGACACTCATATTGGCAGTTATACATAGAAAGAGGGGGGAGGAAGTGTGTGTGAGAGAGAGAAATATGTACAGGTAGTCCTCGATTTACAACAGTTTATTTAGTGACCGTTCAAAGTTACAATGGCACTGAAAAAAGTGACTTACGACCGTTTTCCCACACTATTTCACACTATTTGACTTTTTCAGCATCCCCAGGGTCACATGATCAAAATTCAGGTGCTTGGCAACTGACTCGTATATATGACGGTTGCAGTGTCCCGGAGTCACGTGATCCCCTTTTTGCGATCACCTGACAAGCAAAGTCAATGGGGGAAGCCCAGATTCACTTAATAACTGTGTTACTAACTTAACAACTGCAGTGATTCACTTAACAACTGAGGCAAGAAAAGTCGTACAATTGGGGCAAAATTCACATAACGTATGTCTCACTTAGCAACATAAATTTTGGGCTCAATTGTGGTCATAAGTCGAGGATTACCTGTACACACATGCACACACTCGCAGAGACGTGCCAATTTCCTTTGAGGATAAAATACAGGCTGTTCTGGCTGATCACATTTATGTCGGTGTATGTGCATTGATTTGACTGAATTGAAAGGATGAAATGAAATCAGACTTGTTGGGATGTTATTATTGTTATTTTACCCCACCTCGCTCCTTTTTCTTCACTTTCTTTGGAAAAATGCCCCTGGCACTTCAATCCCTGGACATGGGTTCTAGATAAATGTGCAGGTTGCAGCATAATTGGATTCTGCCCCAAAATATTTTAGCTGCAAATGACCTGTAATTCTGCTGACCTGTTTTGTCTTGTTTTCACAGCTGTCCCTGGGAGAGATCTCCAAAAATGAAGATTTAAGATTATGATTCATTAAAGGTAGAGGCTCCTTTAAACAACTCTGGGCAGTTTAACCTTAAAAAGTTAGTGCAGAAAGAAACTGGCTAAGGGGAAGAGAAAGAAAAAAGGTAAAATTATTTCTCTGCCCAAATCCTCTGGGGAAAAAAAATCTAATTAAATGCCTCCCTATCAGTAGATGTGGGAGGAGGAGGAGGAGGAGGAGGAGGAGGAGGAGGAGGAGGGGGACGACGACGACTATAGGTGCTCTCTGAGCTTGGTTGTTTTCATGCAGACATTTCATGACCCAACTAGGTAACATCATCCGTTGTAGGAGGTGGTGTTTGCTCTATGTTTATATACAAGTAGCTTGCCTGTCAATGTTTCTTTCTTGGTGCTTCCTTCATTAGGCTATTTTTTAGTATTGGCTTGTTTGTCTGAATTGGTAGTTTTTTCATTGGGGTATTGCTTACTTCTTGCTTGTTGGCCAATATTAATCTCTAGATTGTTCCATTATCCCTAGTTCGGTCATTGTCTGCATGAAAACCACAACAGTCCTCCTCCTTCTCTTCGCCTTCCTCTTCTTCCTCTCCCTCTCCCTCCTCCTCCTCCTTCTTCTCTCCTTCCGCCTTTCCACTTTCCACCTTCCCAGCTCCAGAGCATTCTTTAAGTTGAACAACAGAACATATAATCCTCAACAACCATTTGTTTAATGACCATTCAAAATTACGACAGCACTGGAAAAAGTGACTTATGACCTCACATTGATTACCCTTCTTTCTTTCTTTCTTTCTTTCTTTCTTTCTTTCTTTCTTTCTTTCTTTCTCTTTCTTTCTTTCTTTCTTTCTTTCTTTTTCTTTCTTCTTCTTCTCCTCCTCCCCCTCCTCTTTCTCCTCTCCCTCTTCTTCCTCCCCCTCCTCTTTCTTCCTCCTCCTCCTCTGTTGACATAAATTTCTTTTCCATCTAACAAAACGTTTGCCCTGATTTTTAGAACTATATGGGTTGGAAGCTCCCCTTGTGGGAGCCCCTGCAGGGACCTTTTTCTGCTGCCTCTATTATCATTATATCATCTTCTTCTTCTTCTTCTTCTTCTTCTTCTTCTTCTTCTTCTTCTTCTTCTTCTTCTTCTTCTTCTTCTTCTTCTTCTTTCTTCTTCTTCTTCTTCTTCTTCTTCTTCTTCTTCTTCTTCTTCTTCTTCTTCTTCTTCTTCTTCTTCTTCTCCTCCTCCTTCTCCTTCTCCTTCTCCTTCTCCTTCTCCTTCTCCTTCTCCTTCTCCTCCTCCTCCTCCTCCTCTTCTTCTTCTTCTTCTCCTCCTCCTTCTCCTCCTACTTCCCCTCCTCCTCCTCCTCCTCCTCCCCCTCCTCTTTCTTCCTCCTCCTCCTCCGTTGATGTTACCTAGCTTGGTAATGAAACGTCTGCATGAAAGTACCAAGGACCCCACAGTTCAATCCTGAGCTACAGATATTCTGTTTTATCCCTATCGGTAGATCTACTGAAACCACAACTTCCAGAATTCCTAGCTACCATGGATGAAATCTGAGAAGTCCGTGCTCCCAATGGAGATAAAGTTGGGGGAAATTATGGATTATGACTTGCCAAGCTATAGGGAAAGCTACCACTCATGGACTGTGTTCATATTTCTTTTAAAGATTTTGATCTCCTACCGATGGTCAGATGGATCTCCTCTTCTTGGTTGGCCAAACCGTCGTAATAATACAGGTCAAATCGCCGTTCCTCCCTCCAGTCGGCCAACAAATCCTTTCTCAAGCAGAAGAGGACGCTGAAGTGACTTTCACTGCACACCACCCAAATGGGAAACCTGGGGGTCTTCAGATAACAGCCCACCTGAGCAAAAGAAAAAGAAAAAAAAGTGCATTCGTTTAAACAGGGGTCTTCAAACTTGGCCCTTTTATGACTCGTGGACTTCAACTCCCAGAATTCCTCAGCCAGCATGTCTGGCTAAGGAATTCTGGGAGTTGAAGTCCACAAGCAGGGGTCTTCAAACTTGGCCCTTTTATGACTCGTGGACTTCAACTCCCAGAATTCCTCAGCCAGCGTGCCTGGCTAAGGAATTCTGGGAGTTGAAGTCCACGAGTCATAAAAGGGCCAAGTTTGAAGACCCCTGATTTAAAATAATCGTGGCTTTGGAAGCCCAGCAAAAGTTAATGGGTATTTTTTAGACGGATTTTAGGCGTCTGAGAGAGATCCGTACTAATGTTACACAGAAACACTTATATAAGCATAGAAGAAGTCCTCAACTTACGAATGGTCTAAAATTATGCTGATCCTCCCTCCCAAAAAGCTACACAGATAGTCCTTATCTTACAAACCAGTCATTTAGTGATTGTTCGAAGCTGCAACAGATTTCAAAAAAAGGGACTTATGATCGTCACAGTATCCTCATGAACATGTAATCAAAATTTGGGTGCCTGGCGACTGCGCATCACGGGGAGAAGGGGGGTCATGTGATCGCCATTTCCAATCTTCCCAGCGGGAATTTGAACAACAAAGTCAATGGGGGGAGTCAGATTCGCTTAACGAGCACGTGATTCACTTAATGTCAGTGACTTGCTTAACAAACGTGTTGAAAAAGATGGTAAAATTGGGCATGATTCACTTAGCTTAGCAACTGTAATTCTGGCCTCAATTGCCGTCGTAACTCAAGGACGACCTGCACTTGGGTTGGAAGTTCTGACAACCTCTCCCTGCTTCCCCCCCCCCCCCGCCCGCAGTCATGGGATCGCATTTTGGATGCTTGGCAACCAGCCTGCATTTATAGCCATCTGAAACGTCCTGCAACACTTGACTGCAATTTATCACATTTTTTTGCTGAAAATCTGTGTTTACTTCCTGTCTCCAGCAAAAAAATGCCTTCTGCAGAAAATGGGTTTGCTTAATAGTGAGTCAACTTATTTTCCAAAACACCAGAGAGCAGGACAAGAAACAATGGATGGAGTCTAAGCAAGGAGAGACGCAACCTAGAACTAAGGAGAAACTTCCTGGCAGTGAGAGCAATTAATCAGTGTAACAACCTGCCTCCAGAAGTTGTGAGTGCTCCATCACTGGAGGTTTTTAAGAAGAGATTGGACAGCCATTTGTCTCAAATTGTATAGAGTCTCCTGCTTGAGCAGGGGGTTGGACTAGAAGACTTCCAAGGTCCCTCCCAGCTCTGTTATTCTTTTTATTTGAAGCTAATCAATCCATCAAGTAACTCAAAAGGAGGATTTCATTTGAGTTGAGCTAACTAGACTTCGGTTGCCACTGAAGTCAGCACAAACATTTGGCCTCTCTGTGTGTCCTTTGCTTTGTTCTATACGCCAGTTTTCTCCTTAATTCTATTTCAAACAACTTCCTTTTTCTAATACAGGTAAATCTGGTGCTGCAATACTGGAGGTTTTTAAGAAGAGGCTGGACAGAGCCATTTGTTCACAATGGTATAGGTCAGTGGTGGCGAACCTACGGCACGGGTGCCAGAGGCGGCATTCAGAGCCCTCTCTGTGGACACGCGCTCCGTCGCCCCAGTCCTAGTCCTTCAGCTGGGTTTTATAAAACCTTTTCACTTTAGGCCTCTGCCACCGTGTACAAAAAATAACAGGTTCAATCAATCAGTCAATTTCAACTTCTCACGGGGAAATATAAGATCTTGCAAAGTTGGAATTGATTGATTGAACTTTTTAGTCCCACCCAGTCTGCCATTACCACCACAGCCACGCCCACCCAATGAGCCACACCCACCCGGCACTCGACGATGCATAAGTGGGTTTTGGGTTGCAGTTTGGACACTCAGTCTCTAAAAGGTTCGCCATCACTGGATTAGAAGACCTCCAAGGTCCCTTCCAATTCTGTTAACAACAGCAGCATTCGCTTAACAATGTCAGTGATTCACTTAACAACCGCTGCAAAAAATGTCATACAATCATGAGATGACATGCTTAATAACTGTCACAACGTGCAACAATAATTCCAGGCACCTGAAAAGCAGTCATGCGACCATGTTGGGGGGGAGGGGCATTATCAGAATTCAAGAAATAGATCGTAAGTATCTTTTTTTTGGAGGGGGGCTTTCATAACTTTGAAAGCTCGCCAAGCAAACAGTCATGTGAGGATAACCTGTACTCTGATGTTCCCACAGGAGTCCATGGAAAGAGAAGACGGCATCATGGCTGCACGATCAAAGTCCTACCTTTTTTTTAAACACATGTCACATATAAAAAAGCAAAGAAGCATCAGTCAGGAGATGGGGCCAGCATCCTGATGGAATGGTTAATGGAATGGAATGGAATGGAATGGAATGGAAGGGAAGGGAAGAGAAGAGAAGAGAAGAGAAGAGAAGAGAAGAGAAGAGAAGAGAAGAGAAGAGAAGAGAAGAGAAGAGAAGAGAAGAGAAGAGAAGAGTTGAAAGGGACTTGGAGGTCATCTAGTCCAACCCTCTGCTCAGGCAGGAGACCCTATACCATTTCAGACACACGGCTGTCCAGTCTCTTCTTAAAAACTTCCAGTGTTGGAGCATTCACCGTTTCTGGAGGCAGGTTGTTCCACTGGTTAATTGTTCTCACTGTCAGGAAGTTTCTCCTTAGTTCTAGATTGCTTCTCTCCTTGATTAGTTTCCACCCGTTGCTTCTTTTTTTTTTTTTTCAACAAAAATTTTTATTGGTTTTATTTTACATGGTGGCAAGGCCATCAATTAATCAAAACAAAATCATATTTGTACAATTCAAATTATTTCAATATAATTAACTCAGTTATACATATAACTAATCTATTATTATTTTAATATATCCTACTTCCCCTTAGGTCAATACTAGTAACTCTATTTCTA